GGTCAAAGATAAATATTTAGGCATTTTATGTTTCAAGACCTTTGGACAAGTTCGATTCGAAGAATCGGTCAAGGTCAAAAAATCAATATACAGGTATTTTGTATTTTTTGTAAAGATGTATTAAAGTTAAAATGTATACAGAGATAAAATAGGTTAGCTCCTATCGTTTCCTTGTGTAAAAATATATGTCTCTGCGTAATAACGCAGATGTGAGCAGGTAGTTACTAGTCTCACCACAAGGTGGCTCGTTCGGGTCAGATAGCATGGCGGGTATGGTAGAAAGTTCCCTTTAACTTAAAGTACATCTGTTTTCATGATTCAATTTTCATATCACCCTTATGTATCTAATAGCAATGCAAATTAGAATATGTCCAGTGAAAGAAAATGCAATACAAGAATAGATATTTCACTGTGATTTTGTAAGAATGGGGTTATTTTTTGTATAACGCATTGAAACAACTTTAAAAAGTGAGCAATGTCAGTGTTGTAAAAATAACGCCCCTTATACCTATTTATTACAGGTCGTGTAGACCATTGTTGCCCGAGTTATAGCAAAAACATTGAATTTTGCACGTTGATGATGATGATGCGCCTTTTATAATAGATCTCATATCTTAGAAGCCTATCAGTTCAAAAGAATACTAGAAAACCTAACATATTTTGGCATGCACTGTGCCTATTCGATTGGCAATTCAGTAGTAAATTTTATCTTGAAAAAATAAATCTTCCAAATTTGTTGAGTTTTCTTGAAGAAATCGCCTACTCCCCCACTCCATCCATTTTGTATGATCACCGGGCGTGGTTTAAGCTGCCGATATTCTTCTTGAAACGAGTCGGATCTTCAAAATCTATAACTTGGACTCCCTTTATAGAAGCTTTGAACTAAATTTACACTGCTTAATGCTGAAATTTTGTTGTTCATCCATACATTTTAAGAAAAAACTTTTTTTTTAATTAAACAAATCAGAGTCGTGTGAATCAGAAATAACAGAATTATTCAAAAGTATAAGGACTATTCTGTACTTTTTTCAAAAGTCTATACCTAAATGTTGTGAAAAGTTATAATCGAAAAACCATCTTTCGGAGTATAGTCCGTCTGCGCCGATTTCAATAACTTCGTACTTGATCAGAACTGGGTTCCAACAGAATTCCTACAAGCTCATGAATGAAATAGTTATTGCATGGAATACTTACTTTTGTCAAAATCAAAATAGAACTCTAGTTAAAAATATATTGTGCTAAATTATTGCCATTTCTTAGTAAAATGTCGTTCTCCGGTACGTTGCCAAAATTATTCGATGGCACCCCGTGATAATGTTCAATCATACAAATCGCAGTCAGTGATTGTTCTCCACACTCACCCCTCCCCCTTCCTGACATGAACTATTTTGTAAAACCATTGACAGTGTGGAAAGGATTCTTACACTCGAGTGTCAAGGGGGGGGGGGCAGTTACAGAAATATACAAGGCGATGGTTCAAATTGGATAATTTTCAAAACTGCTCAACATGGTGAAAACTTCACGTTTTTAAAGAATGCTTGCCCGGCGAGTGGTTTGCTCTGGATTGCGAGAGAACAAAAACTTTGAGTTAGGATTTTTCCTAATACTATCATTAATCTAAACAACTTTTTAAACCGTCTCTGACTACATATCATGCCAATTAATACCATTATTGTGTTGACAGGATTAAATATGATATCTAATGGAATTATAATTTAATGAACTCAATAGTCTAAATGATAATAAGTTCATAATTTAGTCTTGGCTGACTAGTCTTGCATCATCAGAGTTGGATTGCAAATACCTCCCTAAATCAAATATTTAAAATTTACAAATTTACTAGTGTACGGGGTGGGGAAACAAGTCTCCATCCAACCACTAAAGTTTAAAAGGAAGACTATAGTGTCCCGTGAATTCATTAAAATTATCTTAGACAATAGTGAAGCGGTACAATCATTGGAGTGTTAATTAATCGGAATGCACGTTTGATTTAAAATAACTCCTTTGGATCAAATATTTAAATTCTACTAGAATGCGGGGAGTGGAAACAAGTCTCCATTCAAGCACTAAATATCAAAAGAAAGATTTCAGTACCCCTTAACTTCACTCCCGGACTTCACTATTCACCACCACCCCTCCCCCTTCCCCAATTATCCCTTATGACCCCAGAATGTTCGTTTCTGTGCCCCCCCCCCTGTCCATGGCCAGTAAGTAATCTATGTGTATATTTGCTCCCTCCCAAAGGTGGGAAAACCAGATGCAGGCATAGACATTGACAAGGTGAGGGGATTTAAATATAAAAATAGTCTTGTTTTTGGCTCCGACTTATATATTTTGGCACTGGAATGAGAGGCAGAAATAATTCCTAGAAATAAGATGGCCTCATCGCGATAGCCGCGACCCCTTTGTCTTTATCCTCCCACAATCGGCAGATAAGGTGGCTCTGGCATACCAGAATGAGATGGCCTGTCTTTACTGTAATCAAGATATGGTACCTAACCGCAGTTATTTTGGTTTTATAACGGGGATATTGCTCGAGCTTGAATAACAAATAAAGGGCATGTTCTTATTTCTGTATTTGACCTTTGATTGTGTATTAAGTTGAGCTGCACGCCAAACGTTAAGATTGTTAAAACGCTTAAAATAAAACTTTATTCCTCTCAATTTACATAAAAATGAAACAGATTAGATTCGAA